CTCTTGTCCAGATTTTTCTGTCATACCCAAAGTAACTGAACCATTTAAAATACTTTATTAAGGCAACTTGTGATTTACTCAGGACTGTCTAATACCTGGAAACAACTAAATATCTAATATATATGAAAAAAGGTTTTCAAAGTCAGAAAGACTTGCAATTAAATCTCAAGTGTGCCATATATAATCTCTTTTATTTTGAATATGTTTCTTAGCCAATATACATCTCAGTTTTCCTACTTCTAAAATATTATATTCCTTCATTGAGATTCATTTTTTTAATATATTAATAGTGTAAGTTGATTAGGAGACTTCCAATTTTGAGCCTGCCTCTTGATTCAAAAATAAACTTTATTTGATTGGTGTGTGTTATTTGTAAATATGGTCATGTAATCTGTTTACTAATACACAGTAATGTTTTAATCTACATATAAGTGATATACTGTTGTTTGTCCAATTTTGTTTTGAAATTGGGACTAGATCAGGAAATTTGAAGTTTTTCATAATTTCCTATGCTTTGAGAATATTTAAATAACAGAAATTCTCATTTTCTTTGTGTTTTATAAATTGATCAATAAAACCATATAGGCTCAGTGTCTCTGGAGAGGTAAATATTTGACTATCTTTTTTATGTCCCTCCCCATGGCTAATCGCCTATCAGTGTTCTACTCTTTCTTTGTCTATTTTCATCATATAAATTTTATTGAGAGATTATCCATCTCAACTGGATTTTAAAAAATTGCAAATATTTGAAATGGCACATTAAACTCTCTAGCATGTGTCAATTTGTTTTGAAGTCGAATTGATATGTTTTCATATTTAAATGATTATTATTTATCTCTTTCATTTTGAATTTAACAGAGTCTTAGTAAGGCCACTATTTAATGTTGATAATTCATTTTAAATAACAATTCTTAAGTTCATTCTTTATTTTTATTTTTTTCATATCCCATTTCTCTTTTGTTCGTTTTTCAGTATGCTCTTCTTACTTTATTTTGACTTGTTTCCCCTGGACTTAAATGCTTGCTTTATTTGTCTTACGTAAACAAACTCTGAATTAGTTACTCGCAAGCTATTCGTACTCTCTTTTCCCTTGCCTTCCTCTACTTTAGTTGTTATAAAGCGTTCAACTTTAACTGCCTTATACCTAGAGATAGCTCTGGCCAGTGGAGACCATGTCTTTTCAGCACCTTGCCCATGATCTTCTCCATTCTTCCCATCATAGACACAGATCTTATGATTGGAGGTATCACACATATGGATCTTGAGAATACTGAGGATAGCAAAGGGGATAATCAAGGAAAGCTTAAGTATATTGATGACAACACTAAGCAATAACAAAAGCACTGGGTGGCTCGAACATGACAATGTATTGGCTTAGATCATAAACCTCTGACTTATTCAAGAAAATATTTGTTGGGTTTTCTTTAGCTTTCTGTTGAACACACTATGACTAATAATTTATATTGTTGCATTTCTAATGTATGTATAAAGCCTATATGAGTACCATTGGACAACTTTGTGTGTTTTATACTAGTTATTCTAAGTAGTCTAGAATGCTCCATAAATTGTTTTGTTATCTCTTTGTATCCTTAAAGATTTTATGAGTGTTTCTTTTTGTTTATTTAGTCACATGTTTTTAATTTCCAGATAGACTTTGTATTTTGCATATGTTGTTCTGTTTTAGAACATAGAGAATGCTGTTGTCTTCCCTTCCTTTCTGCCAGTTCTCTCAGGTCCACATCAATAGTAAGCAGTGCATCCTTAGTATTTCTTAGAAGTACTCTTGTACACATTACCAATATGATAAAATCAATAAGTAACTATCAGTTCTTATCTTTTCCAAATTATTGGTGTCATTTGATGCATTTTTGTATTTCCTCTTAAAGATCAGGACATGAGCGTCTTTTGTTCTTTGAGGGGTGGAGGCAGTTACATGTCTCTTTTTTTTTGTCTCTTTTGCTGGTTTCATCTCATCTCCATAATCATTAAATGTTACAGTAACCAGGAGTTTAGTTTTTAGATATGCCTTTATTTATACCTACTGTGTAGGTCCCATAATCAAATCACATGACTTCAAACATTTTATATATATATATATATATATATATATACTCATAACTCACACATTTATATCTCTAGATTTTACTTTGCTTTTGACATCAGATTTTTATATCTAACTGCTGACTTGATATCCTTACTTGAATATCTAACAGATATCTCAAGCTTTATATGTCAAAATATACTCATAATTTCCTCCCCTAAAATATATCACTCATAGTTTTCCCTATTTCCATGATAATTTATTCTCCTAACTGTCAAAAAACCTGGGGTAATTTTTAAGTTTTCTTTTCACATAATTGTCAGTAAATCTTGTCAGTTTACTTATATATTAGCAAAGTAAGTTTATTTTATTTCTATTGGATGACCTGTCATAAATACATAATCTACCATAAATTTTATTACCCCCAAAATACATATTAATTTATAATTTAATCATAAATTATGAATATGAGTTTATGATATAAATAATCCATATGTAAATTTATATGAATAATTTAATATATGTGAATATATATTAAATATATGAATAATTTCTATGTAAATTTATAATTTAATTTGTATGTATTTTTACATATGAATTCATACATATGAATAATTCATACATATGAATTGACGATATGTGTTTTGAGGATAATAAAAATTGTAATTCATTTTTTTGTATGTTTGGAAACAATGTTCACATATTCCTTATATAAAGCTCTATAAAGTTGCTGTTAAACTAGTTTTGATTTTTTAGTTGTTGCTAAGGTCAAAGAAGGTTCAAGGTTAGACCTATTAATGATAGAAGGAAGGTTGTGAAAAACTGAGGAAGGAACATTCTAGGCAAAGAGAAAGCAAGTGTAAAGTTTCCTTACCTAAAGCCTTTTGTATATCAAAAAATGAAGCTTGAAAAATATTATTGCTCTGTGTAGAATTTTAGATTAACAACTTGTTGTTTTATGTTGATTGCTTTTGTGAGTAAAGATTTCATTGCACAGCTTTCTGGCTTGTATTGCTTTCAGTAAGATTTTTGCAATCATTCTTGCCTCTGATACTCTGTATATATCTTATTTCTCTGGATGATTTAATAACTGTATTTTTGTCACTAATGTTAAGGAATTTACTTGTTATATGCCTTGATGTAGTTTTCTCATGTCTTCCATTTTAAGTTCATTGAAACTTTTAGATCTATGGGTTTATCCCTTGCATCAAAAGATCGAAAATTGTTTTTTCTGTCTTACCCTTTCTCCTCTGTTATGGGACCCTGATTACTTACATAGCTACTTAGTTTTACTCTACAAAACAATGATGCTCTGTTCAATTTTTACTTTTCTCTTCTCTCTATATTTCATTTGGGACCATTCTTACTACTATGTATTCAAACTCATTAATCTTTCTTCTGTAATATAAAATGTATTATTAATCTCATCCAATGCATTTTTCATTTCAGACATTATAACTTACATCTCTAGTAGTTTGATATAGTCCTTTTTTATATTTTCTGTATCTCTCACCACACACGTTTTCCTCTAATTTATGGAACAATATATAGTATACTTGCAGTAGATGTTTTATTATCCTTGTCTACTAATTTTATTACCTGAGTTATTTGGGGGTCTTTAGTTTTATTGATTTATTTTACTTTTACTTAAGTTTCATATCTTTCTAGTTCTTTCTATGCTTGGCAATTATTGATTGTTTGCTGTATTAGTTTCCAAGAGTGGGTGTAACAAAGTTCCATGAACTGACTAGCTTAAAACAACAGAAATTTATTCTGCATGTAAGAAAAATCCCCATGTAAGGCCTTCTTTATTTCTTTCTGTAATAATAAGTCTGAAGATGTAGCTGTCCTATCTTCCACTGGCTGGTTCTGACATACATGCACATGGTGGCTTAAAGGACCCAGGTAACAGAAAGCTTCAATATCAGTTCAATCCCCAGCTTAAGCTGGATTTCAGGGCCCAGGTTTCTAAAATTCTCTTAACCCTCCCATCATGGACACAGAATGGCTACTGAAAATCAGCCCTCAGATCATTATTCCAAAGTGAAAGATGGATATTGAGTGGGACTATCAAGCATCAGCCCATTTCTGTTTACATCTCATTGGTGAGAATCTTGTCATGAGAGCCCTAGCTGCAAAAGAATCTGAGAGAAAACTTAGCTTTCCAGCCTCTATAATAGAAGGAAATAATCAAAAGGAAGTTGTAAATGCATTTTGAGTAAGCCCACCAAAAGTGTGTGTCACTTCTCTTATAGAGGTTTAATTTCAGACCTCATTATCAGATTATTTACTCCACCCCCATCATTTTTAGTAGCTGCAAACTTACAAGAAGGAAGTTGTTGAAAAATTATGTACTTAGCTAAAAACATAGGCCATTTTTTTTCTTTTTAATAAAAAAAGATGGATGATGATGCCAAAATTCACATTCCCTACTTTTTGAACTAGAATGTCATTGTGGTTACCTATCCCTGTCTCAACATTTTATATCAGCATGTGAAGGGCAGAAAGTGTCTTCCTTTAGGTCAGAGGTCCTCAAACCAGAAGTAACCCAGAAGTTGTGTACTCAAAGAATTGCATCTGCAATGCCTTCTCTATGCAGGAGATACTTTAGGTGACATTTCCATTGGACCTTGGGAGTGGGTGAGTGAGTTTTGCAAGTAGGAAAAAAAAAGTGAATCACTGTGGACAGAGGGTAGAGAATGACAGGCAGTATTTCCTAAAGAGGTCCACCTCAGTATTTCTCATCCCTTAAAGTCTTTTGCAGCGTGACTTATCAATCCACTCTCAAAAAGCAAACTCTATGATACACCCCCTCGAAACTGGGCAGGCCTTGAGATTACTTTGACCCATAGAACATAACACATATGTGTCGAGTGAGTTATAGTCTTGTTATGAGTTGAGTTGTGTCTCCCAAAGTGATATGCTAAAGCCTTAATCCCTATGTGACCTTATTTGGAAATTAGGCAGCTGAGTGTGTGTGGCTGCCTGGCTTCCTCCTCTTCCGCAGGCACCAGTACAAGGCCGTCGCCAAGCAACAGATCCAAGCCACGGTTAAGACAGAGCTCAGCAAGGGCACCAGGAAATCTGTTCTGTTCTTCTGAGGCTGTCTCTGAACTCTTACCTCTGCAATGGCAGCAATCAATGAGCTGTTTCCATCACGTTTACTAACAAGATCGATGATTTTGTTGGTGATTTCCTTAACTGGGTTTCCATCATCCCATGTATCTTCATCAGAAATGGCCACATGTATTTCATTGTTTGCAGAAGGAGAGGGCTCACAAGCGATATAGATTGAATATTCAGTGGAAACATTCTTCAAAATATTCAAATTCCTCCATTCGCTGCAAATTTGCTCAGTGGTAAGACCTGGTGACATCATCTCCTTGTTAAAGGTGAACATGATGTTTCCACAATTATCCTGGTAATAGGAGTCAGAGATGCACTTCGTCTTCACTGGTTGGAGACCAGAAGACTGACACTCGCCCACACCAGTGCAGGGGCGGACGAAGCACTGGTCATCCAGGATGGGGATGCAGTTCTGCCCGTTAAGGCACTCGCTGTGCCCTTTGTGGAACAGGCAGGGTCGAGGGCCACACCAGACCTTTGAGCAGGCAATCCATCCATTCAGACACTGGCAGGTGTTACAGTCATCATCCCATTTGGCCCCATCTGGTATCACACTCCACATGGTGATGAAAGGTCTTCCTGAAACTTCCTGGCACATGGCACTACTGTGCCCTGGAGGACAGACACACCGGTAGCCATTGATCTCATCCACACAGGTTTCCCCAAAGGCACAAGATGAAGACCGGCATTCGTTGATGTTTATTCTGCAGTCGGGCCCAGCAAAACCCGGGGCACATTCGCACCAGTACCAGTTGTCTCCATCCACACAGGTGCCGCTGTTGTAACAGGGATGAGGGCTGCAGTCATTGGTATTCTGAGTACATATGGGCCCCTCCCAGCCTTCCTTGCAGACGCACCTAAAGGACTCGCCGTTGACCACACATGTGCCCCCATTGTGGCAGGGGTTGGGAAGGCAGCTACTGTTTCGTGCTATGTTACAGGTGGTTCCTTCCCAACTGCCAGGACACATGCACTTAAAAGCATCTCCCTCGTCATAGCAGGTGCCACCATTGTTGCACGTGGCCTAGTCACACTGACTGTCATGAGAGTGGCATGTCTTTCCTTTCCACCCATTTTTACAGTCACAGTAGAAGTCATTGACCAGGTCATGACACGTGCCCCCATTGTGGCAGGGGTTCTGGCTGCAGTCATTGATATTGGTTTCACAGTAGGCCCCCTCCCAGCCATCGCTACAGATGCACTTGTAGGAGTTGACCCCATCGATGCAAGTGCCACCATTTTTACAGTGGTTGCTCTCACAGTCATTAATATTTTCATGGCAGTATGTTCCTGTGAAGCCTTTGTTACAATCACAGGTGAATTTGCCTCCCGACTGACTTGCACTTCCCGTGGGGACCACAGACGTTCGAGGAAATATACCGCACCCCTTCAGGTGTGTCGTTGGAAGTCATGGCCACTGTGCAGCTGTCAATCACTTCGCAGGGGGTCATGTGGCAGTGATCTTTCAGGTGTGAGCAGTTCTTGCCCTAATAGTCCTAAGGGCACTTGCAGAAATGAGCCATGGAGTGTGAAGAAATGTGAGACAGTAGCCAAACAACCAGCTATTTCTTCTCATTTCACCCAAGACCTCTTGCCAGAGCAAGGCATAAAAGATTCATTTCAAAAGGTGATACTGAGAAGATATGGAAGCTGTGGCTTTGAGAATTTACACTTACAGAAAGATTGGGACAGTGTGGGTGAATCTAAGGTGCAGAAAGAATGTTATAGTGGACTTAACCTGTCTTTATCAACTACCTATACCAAAATCTTTCAGTGTAGTAGACATGTGAAAGTCGTTAGTAAATTGTCAAATCTAAATAGACATAAGATAAGACATACTGGAGAGATATCTTCCAACTGTAAAGAATGTGACAATTCCTTTTACATATCCTCAATTTTAACACCACTTCAGAGAATCCACACTGCAGAGAAATTCTACAAGTGTAAAGAATGTGGGAAAGCCTTTAGGCACTGCTCATGCTTTCTTGAACATAAGACAGCTCATAATGAAGAGAAACATTACAAATGTAAAGAGTGTGGCAAAGTCTTTAAATCCTTCTCAAGCCTTTCTAATCACATTGTAATTCATACTGGACAGAAACTCTATAAATGTGAAGAATGTGGTAAAACTTTTAACCACAGTTCAAACCATGCCAAATGTAAGAAAATTCACACTGAAATAAACCCCATAAATGTGAAGAATATGGCAAAGCCTTTAACTGGTTCTCCTACCTAACTCTACATGAGAGAATTCATACTGGAGAGAAACCCTACAAATATGATGAATGTGGCAAAGCCTTTAACCAGTGTTCAAACCTCACTAAACATAAGTGGATTCATACTGGAGAGAAGCAGTGAATGTGAAGAATGTGGCAAAGCTTTTAACCGGTGCTTGCACCTTATTGAACATAAAAGAATTCATACTGGAGAGAAGCCCTATAAATGTGAAGAATTTGGTAAAGTCTTTATATCTTGTTCAAGCCTTTCAAACCATAAGAGAATTCATACAAAAGAGAAATGCTACAAATCTGAAGAATGTGACAAAACCTTTAGCCACTGTTCACACCTGAATGTACATGAGAAAATTCAGACCTGAGAAAAATCTTACAAACATAAAAAATGTGGCAAAGCCTTTAATACCTGCTCATGTCTTGCTCAGGATCAGAGTTCATATTGAACTAAAGCATTATAAATATAATGACTGTCAAAACACCTTTCTGGTTTTTTGTTGTTGTTGTTGCTTTTTTTTTTTTTTTTTTTTTTTGAGATGGAGTTTCGCTCTTGTTACCCAGACTGGAGTGCAATGGCAGGATCTTGGCTCACTGCAACCTCCTCCTCCTGTGTTCAATCAATTCTCCTGCCTCAGCCTCCTGAGTAGCTGGGACTATAGGCGTGCACCACCATGTCCAGCTAATTTTTGTATTTTTTAGTAGAGACGGGGTTTCACCTTGTTGACCAGGATGGTCTCGATCTCTTGACCTCATGATCCACTTGCCTCGGCCTCCCAAAGTCCTGTTATTATAGGTGCGAGCCACCGTGCCCGGCCGTCAAAAATAATTTTACCACAAGTTAATTTGTTCATTAATGGACCTTTAATTCTGGTTTTTTGGTCTACACAAATCTGCCCTTTTGCCAGTACCATATTGTTTAATTATTGTAACGTCGTAGTAAACATTTTTATCAAGAGTGTAAGCTACTGAATTTTGTTATTATTTTTCAGAATTCTTGTGAGTTTGATTTACTTTGCATGTTTATATAGATTATAGGAAAAGCTTGTCAATTTATATTAATAGCTATGTTGGAATTTGCATTGAATGTGTAAATAAATTTGTTGTGTATTTTGATCTTCATATTCAGTATTGTTATCTTTGAATATTGGATATTATCTCAGTTTATTCGGCTCTTTGATTTTTTTCAACATTCTAAAATTTTTGGTGTATAGTATGTGCATTTATTTTGTTAAATTTATAATTGTTTTCTATGATACTATTAGTGAAATTTTAATGTAATTCTTTTGTTTATTGCTATAATATAAAAGTATTATCCAACCTTGAAAAAAAAACCCGAAGCACGTCATCTTCAGTCGCCTCTCCGTGTCTGCTGATCTCGAGTCCCGCATCTGTGTGGATGGAGAGAATGGGGCCGGGAAGTCTACCATGCTGAAGCTGCTTATGGGAGACCTGGCACCTGTTCAGGGCATCAGACACGCTCACAGGAATCTGAAGATTGGCTATTTCAGCCAGCACCATGTGGAGCAGCTGGACCTAAACGTCAGCGCTGTGGAGCTGCTGGCACGCAAGTTTCCTGGGAGGCCTGAGGAAGAGTACCGCCACCAGCTGGGTCGGTATGGCATCTCTGGAGAACTGGCCATGCGCCCGGTTGCCAGCTTGTCTGGGGGCCAGAAGAGCCGAGTGGCCTTTGCTCACATGACCATGCCCTGCCCGAACTTCTACATTCTGGATGAACCCACAAACCACCTGGAAATGGAAACCATTGAGGCTCTGGGCCATTCCCTCAACAATTTCAGAGGTGGCGTGATTCTGGTGTCCCACGATAAGCGCATCATCAGGCTGGTGTGCCGGGAGCTGTGGATGTGCGAGGGAGGCGGCGTCACCCGCGTGGAGGGAGGATTTGACCAGTACCGCGCCCTTCTCCAGAAGCCGTTCTGCCATGAAGGTTTCCTCTAGGGCCACCAGGCTGAGGACTTGCCCAGGACATGGACTGTCTCAGACCCCTGGACCACCACCTAGGCAACCAACTCCAGGCCATGAACTTCCCCCGACTTGGGGATAGCCTTATTCCCAAATGTCTCTCTCCTTTCGACTGGAGCATCTTCTGCACAACCTTGGGAGCCCATCCAAAGGTTGGTGAGGACTGGTCTCCCAGGGTACGGGGTCTGGGGGGTGCCCTCCGGGGTTATAGATGCCCACACTGCTCCAGCTCTGACTGGACCCCAAGGGGCTGCTATGTAAATTAAATCTCTCCCTGCATCTCATTTGCCTCTTCTCTGCTGCTCCCTGGTGGTGGGTGCCTACTGTTGAGGGGTGTGGACTCTGCTTGGCATTTTCTATGGCACTTGCATCACTCACATGGAGGAAGCAGTGGCAGCACCAACCTTGCCTCTAGAAGAGACACTGCCCGGCTGCTGGGGCATCGAGGTCATCTGCCTGCCTGACTTTGGGGTGGGCAGAGCCAGCAGAATGTGGGGCAGTGTGTCAGCATCATGGTGCTGTCAGCCCTGGCCTGGGCCCTCCTCAGCCAAAGGGGTTTTGGGTTCCACGGCCACAGCCCCGCTGCTTGGGCAATTGAACTGATTGTAACCTGGCCTCACACAGCTAGCTGCTTTCTCCAGTGGCGTCTGGCTCCAGCTTCCCTGCTTCTCTGATCTCTAGACTCAGCGCTGAAGAGAAACCATCTTTGTCCTTACAATAAAAAAAAAAAATAGTCTAACTTGTGTGAGCCCTACTCCAATATGACTGGTGTCCTTATAAAAAAAGAAAATAAAGACATAGGGACACATACACAATACTGAGCAAAGATTGTGTGATGACAAAGGATGGGAGTGATGAGTCTACAAATGCCTATGGCCTACCAGAAACTAGGATAGTGGAATGAAATAGCACGTCACAGGGAGCACAGCGTTATCAATACCTTGATTTTATACTTCTCGTCTCAGAACTGGGAGATGATAAATTATGTCACTTTAAGCCACCTAGTGTCTCACAGGCCCATTTTCTAGTGGCTGTGGGAAACTAACATGGCTTCTTTGCCAACTTGGCAGCTTCTGTGTTCCACCTCTTGGTGTACTCATTTTGAGGATCCTGATTCAGAGCCATACCACTTGTCTTGAGAAGTCTAAGCCATATGGAGAGGCCACATGTAGGCATTGTTAATAAATGGTTGATTAAAAACCCCAGTCAACACCTTTATGACAAGACATCAATTGTCAGCCATGTATATGAGTCTTCTTGGGTATCCAAAGTGGTTGAGCCTCTAGACAACCATATTCACCATCTGACTGCAGCTGCATGAGAAATTCCAAGTGAGAACTGCCCAACTAAGCCCAGTCAATCTTTAGATCCCTGTGAGACCATAATAAACTGGTATTTAAGCCACTAAGTCTTGGGGTACTTTATTATAAACCAACAAGTAATGAGAATTCTAAGCTTGGCATTAAACTTCCAAAATCTTCCCAACTCTAGCTTTAAAAGTTGATTGTTTAAATATCTGGGTACAACTTTTAATTGAGTGAGGCAAATGGCTTTAGAGTCCATTGGTCTGATGAGAAACAATGTCTCCTAATTTTTAACCAGAGATAGTTAAACCAGGATTTTCAACCATTTGAATTTGAGATGTTGTTTTGAATACTGAATGTTGAAGAGATGCCAGATCAAATTGATTAAATACTTGCAAAATAAGGCAGTAATACTTACAACTCATTGCTTCAATATAAAATATATTAAAATTTTTATTAGAAGCATCTAGCATTATTACACTTGTCACATGGCTGACCATCAGCATGTGACTAAGTTAAACAGTTCATTTCCATGATCAGACCCACAACATACACTTCTTATTTGTTTAATAAACAGGTTTTATCTTCTTACAAGGTTCTTGTTCAGTTATGCCAGCGAATTGCAGCATATATCACCCTTATCTGCCAGGTTTTCTCAGTTTAATCTTCCTTTGAACTAAAGTTACCATTATCATTTATATTAATCAATATTTACTCATATACCTGTGATGAGTTCTTAGTCCACCAAAAGTAGCAGGGCAAGGTAAATCACTGTCTCTTGGGGGAAAACGAATTCGTCACTAAATACTAGTTTTCAAAATTACAAATCAGAAAGACTTATGAGAATTGTAATTTATTCTGAATCAAGAGATAACCTATACTAAAAGTTTATTTCTCATTACTGTTTTTCATACTCTTTTCATTTTAGACACATAAAAAGAATTGATCTCTACACCTTATACACCTTATGCTTTTTCAAAGTAATACTAAAAGTTTTATGTAGTGATTAACATATCACATGAAAATTGTAGGCTTTTTATACATATAATTTTATATATTAAAAATGTATATAAATGTCCCTCCAAAGATGCCTGTATTTATCCTAATGCTTCTGAATTATTTTCTCTGCCTTCCAGTATCTGATCACCCAGATCATACACATCTCACCAAATTCTTAGACTACAGTTTCAAGGAAGCCCTTTTTCCTTCACTCCACTGAAATGAATCTTACCATCTATTGAACATTAGTTGTTGTTTATCTCCTCCTATTGTGTAGCTTTCCTGAGTTTACCATGAATTTTAATTATTTATTCACAGTACTAAAGACAAACGTTATAAGTTTTATATAGTTGGAGTCTTAAGGGTCTAGTCAACTTTATTGTTTCTAAAAGTCCTCCTTTGGTGTCTATGGGGAGTTTGTTCCGGGAATCCCAAGAACATCAAAATCTCTGGAAGCTCAGTTTCCTCATATTAATTGGCATAATATTTCCAAGTAACCTAAGCACATTTTCCCATATATGTTAAATCATCTTTAGATTACTTATAATACCTTATTCAATGTAAATTCTATGCAAATAGTATACCCTATTTTAAAACATCATTTTTAATTTTTGTATTTTTATTTTTAAAAAATATTATTTATCTGAAGCTAGTTGAATTCTTAGATGTGAAACTCACAGATATGGAAGATCAATCTATATTCAATTTTTGTAATTAAGTGGCTAGCTGACTGACAAGTAGGCAGGTTGTGAGGAATAACTTTCCCTGTGAACATCATTAAGTCAATAAGCTAGTAACAGCAAAAACATTGCAAAGTCAACCCAGGTGTTCCTAGGAATATATACTAGCAGATAAAAATAGTTAAGCAGTGACTAATAGAAGAACACTTTGTATAATAACCTAAAACTGGAAAGCCTTCAAATGTTTATCATTGGAGGAAAAACAATAGAAGAATCTGCAACAACTAAAGAATAAATTACTGATGTATCTATCCAATGGCTTGGATGATTCTCTAATCAGTTTTTATAAAAAAAAAAAGCCAATGCCCAGAAAAGTACATATCATATGATAATATTTTTATACAGTTCAAAAATAGGCAAAAAAATCTCTGTTTACCGAAAATGGAACACTGTTCCTGGGCATGGTGAATATAATGGAGTGATATTAAGACTTTTAAGGATAAGCTGACATATCCAGAGTCACAATGGAAAACATTAATATTGGCAGAGAAAAAAAAGATTATGTATAGAAGATTTTTAAATTAAAAAGCACCTGTGATCTAATTGATGTATATAGAGAGTTGAATGCTGATTACACATGCTGGGAAGGACAATAAGGTGGTCAGGGGTGGGGAAGTAGGGATGGTTAATGGATACAAAACTATAGATTGAATAAGATTCAGTACTTAATAGCACTTTTGTCAACAATATTTTATTGTACATTTAAAAATAACTAAGAGTATACATGTATTGTTTGTAACACAAAGGATAAATGCTTGATGTGCTAAATATCCTATTTACCCTGATATGATTATTATGCACTTAATGCCTATATCAAAATATCTCATGTACCCCATATATATACCTACATAAATTACAAATAAAATAATAATAGTAAAATAAGCAAAATACAAAAAATATAAAAATGTCACTGTTTTATGTAAATTTCTGTATACCCACAGAAATTACCAATAAAACAATAATCCCCCAAAGCAACAAATATATAACTATCACTCTTTTGATGCTCATATGAAATATTTTAAAAACTGACTTTATAAATTCCATGTAAGAAATCTCAAAATTTTTAAATTAGCTACATTATCATATATTCAGCATGAAACTATATTATACAGAAGAAATTTGATAAGTGCACTGCAAATAATTAGAGCCAATAATTAAAAGTTTTATATGTTTGTGTGTATGTGTAGACATATAAATTGATAGATTTACTTGGAAAGATCATACCCTTATATAAAAGTTACAAAACATTTATGAAAAAGTGATGAGAAAAAAAATCTATTTATCAAAGTGTCGGGGATTTAGAACACTAGAAATTAAAGAAAAAACCTAGAATAATTGGAGATAACATATCTCCCCAAAAGCAAATAGCTACTCAGTTACAGAAGATTCTCATCTTGTGTGAATGTGGTTCCCATGCTGACAAAGTTTTTAATTTTACTTTTTTAGATCATCCAGGGAAAAGAACTTTATTTAAAATCTTCCAATTGATAAATGTTGGAAATCAACTTTTAAAAAATATACTACATGAGACAAGATAAAAAATATGGGCCCAGCGCTGAGGGTCACGCCTGTAACCCCAGCACTTTGAGAGGCTGAGGAGGGTGGATCACTAGGGCAAGAGATCTAGACCATCTGGCCAACATGATGAAACTCTGTCTCTACTAAAATACAAAAACCTGGCCGGGCTGGTACACTCCTGTAGTCCCAGCTACTCGAGAGGCTGAGGCAGGCGAATCGCTTGAACCTGGGAGGTGGAGGTTGCCATGAGCTGAGATCAAGCCACTGCACTCCAGCCTGGGTGACAGAGCAAGACAAAAGAAAGAGAGAGAGAAAGAAAGGAAAAAAAAAAAAGAAAAGTCTGCAAACACAATGCTCCTAAGCAGTGATCTTCAAAGTTAAGGCCCTGGTGTAATCACATCCAAACTGGTATCACCAGTGAACTTCTGAGGAATGTGGATGCTCAGCCTGTCACTACCCTTGCAAATGCAAATTCTGTCGGTAGAGCCTTGGAATCTCTTTGACAAGCTCATTCTTAGAGATGGTCAAGTTTAAGAAACACCACAAAAGCCTAGAGTGGTTTGACTAATTTTTTGTCTTCCCAATCCAGTTTGTTTGTTTGTTTGTTTGTTTGTTTTGAGACAGAGTTTTGCTCTTGTTGCCCAGGCTGGAGGGCAATGGCATGATCTTGGCTCACTGCAGCCTCCACCTCCCAGGTTCAAGTGATTCTCTTGCCTCAGC